CCTGGCTTATACGTACCCCCATGTGGAGTTTTAAATTTTAGAGCCAAGTCTGTGAGCTCATCATCACTACTCGTTGTCCTCTTTTTATATATCACTCTTATTATGGATTTATCAAAGTTAATCTTCCCTTCTAACAAACAAACTCCAACTCTTAATAGATATTAGAGATATTGCCTCAGACAAGAGTAAATTATTAAATGAGAGTAGATATGTTTGTATTTTCTGAATAAGAATTCTTTTCCTAATTTGACCTTCCTAATATATTACCTTCACTTTTTTTAATTGCAACTGTTTGACTTTCACGTTTGTCAATGCACAATTTTGAATTTAATTATATTTAATTATGTATTAGTAAACAACTAAACATTATAAAAAATTGATATTACGGATATTCACATGAATAGAAAATTCAAAACATTTTATTCATAATAATTTGATTATATATATTAGTAAAAAATCATGAACATAGTAAGGTGCGTGAATAGTGCAAAAATTACAATGACAAAAACTATTAAATCATATTTTTATTTTTTTACTAATAGAGATTCAGATATAATTACGGCCAAAAGACAAGCGTTGGCAAATGTGAAATATTGATCGTTTCAATTAAAAAGGAACGGAGGAAGTGAGTTACTATTATTTGGTTGCATTAGGGCCTAACATGAAATTTTTTTATTTTATAATTTATGTAGAGTTGACTTATTTTTAATTGCTTTTCTGAAATTACTTTTTTATTACTCAGTATAATTTTTTATTATGTTTTTAGATCAAAATTTATTTTCATTATCTTTTTAATTGCATTTATCATTTATTATTTTTTTATATTAGGTAACTAGTTCAAGAAAAAGTAATATATATATATATATATATAGAGAGAGAGAGAGTAGGGATCATATGAGAATATCATCTTAGGAGAGAATTGAGAATGAATTGTAGCCATTAGATCTTGGAGGTTTATAATAATTCGGTACTCTCTCGTTAAGGGCAAATTCGAAACTTCCGCATCATATATTAAATCTAACGGATTCGTTCCATAACCGTCATTAGATATTCGTATAAGTTATGCTTCATTTGTTTGACCAGTCAAAATGAACACTTTTCTCTCCACTTTGTTTATGGTTCATAAGATATTTTGTTTACGGTTCATTTGTTTACTTTTCTTAATCATTCCATTTTTTTTTAAAATAAGTGAATTATTATCTCCAATAAGTGAATTCTTATATTTTACTCTTTCATGATATTTCGCTTTCGTCTCTTTCTTTAAATATATCTTCCATTTAGTTTTTCTATTTCTCATTCTATTTATTTTGATTTATCTAATTTGGGACTCCTTTATGTACAACAAAGATGTATGTCACCTTTATAAGAATTCATTTCATGTTTATTGAAAAGTGCACAAGAACTTACATGTAAGTGCAAAACATAATTGATTATTTTGATGCACTTATCACATTATATTCGTAGTTTCCATTATTTTTAGTTTTCTCTTTTACAAATTCAAGTGACACCAAAAGACAATGTCTTAATCAGATAATTGTAATGAAAAATTGCATTAGTTTGTGTGCTATAATATTGCACTTTTACATATATTTATAACATATACGATAAAAATGCATTTCATTTATAAGAAAGTGCCAATGTAGAATTTTACAAAGTAAAATATAATAGTACACTTTTATTTATATTAGAAATGCACATGATAGCTACTTATTTACACTCACATATGTTTATTTTCATTTTATTTTGAAATACATGGACGTGCACAACTACAAAGACTAACGTGCAGATTAATGACTTACGTGTAAAGGTTAATATAATAAAAATATCATTTATGTCCTTCGAAAAATCTCCATGGTTTCTTTAAATTAATGAATTGTGTTTACTATTTATAAATTTATAAAATGTATATAAAGTGCATAATTATGTAATTAAATGTGCATACATTTTTTTCCTGCACATTTACGCCTATTCATAAAGTGCATAGTTGTTTAGCTAAATGTGCATACATATGCTAACACCTCTCCTTTTGAGGTAATGCTTTTGAAGGTATGGTGACTGGTGTTTATGGCAAGCACACTTATATTGAAAGAAGGGAATTATGGGATACTCTCTCTACGCTTTCTATCAATCTGACTTGTCCATGGATGGTGGGGGGAGATTTTAATGCTATAGCTTCTTATGGGGAGCATCAGGGTAATGATCTACCTATAATAAGAGGTATTAATGATTTTTGTAATTGTATTGCTTCCTGCAATTTAGTTGATCTCCCCTATGATGGGCCAAAATACACTTGGTCAGGTATGAGGGCCAATGGAAGAGTGTGGAGGAGACTTGACAGAGTCTTGTTTAATACTTCCTCTCTAAATAAATTTGATTCTATCAAGATCTCCCTCCTTACTAAAGCCCCTTCAGACCATAATCCCATTCTTGTCCAGATTTCAAATTTGAATCTTTCTACTCCTAGAGGTTTTAAATTTCAGAACATGTGGTTTCAGAGCAGTTCTTTTATGGATTTTGTTAAAGAGAAGTGGGGTGCTGTGAAAACTGGAGGTGGCATGAGGGGTTTTGTTAATAAACTTCAGTTCCTTAAAAAGGAGCTCAAAATATGGAATAAAGAGGTTTTTGGTAACATTTTTGATGAAGTCAGGAATTGTGAGCAGGAAGTTTTGCAGGCTGAAAAGACTTTTGAAGAGGAACCAAGTGCTTCTAACAGAGAAAATTGGTTCTATAAAAGAGGGCTGCTTATTCAAAAACAAAAGTTGGAGAAAAAATATTGGAAACAGAAAGCTCATATTAATTGGCTCAAGGAAGGAGACAAAAATACACACTTTTTCCACTCTTATGTGAAAATAAGGCATAGGAAGCAGACTATTACCTCTATCAAAAATGCTACAGGAAACAGTTTGACCAATATTACTGAGATTGGTGAGGAAGCTGTAAATTTTTTCTCTGACCTGTATACAGAGAAAAATCATGTCAGTTATAATGAGATCCTTGATTTCATACCTCAGATTGTCAGTCAGGAAGAAAATCTTTTACTCACACAATTACCTACTCTTTCAGAAGTTAAAGAGGCTGTTTGGGACCTCAATCAAAGTAGTGCACCTGGGCCTGATGGATTTCATGGAAAATTTTTTAAAAAATGTTGGCATATTGTGAATATGGATGTTCTAAAAGCTGTTCAAGAGTTTTTCATGGGTCTTCCCATTCCTAAAGGCATGTCTAGTGCAGTTCTTGTTCTAATTCCTAAAACTGAAAAGCCTGCTTCTTTCAGTGACTATAGACCTATATGCTTATCTAACTTTATTAGTAAGGTATGTACAAAGGTCTTGGTAGCAAGGCTTAGGAAGATTTTGCCTAAGATTATTTCCATGGAGCAGGCAGGTTTCATGGAAGGCAGGGATATTGCTGATCAAGTTTTAATTGCTCAGGAAATGATCCATTGTATTGACAAGAAGATAAGGGGCTCCAATTTGGTGGTTAAGTTGGATATGTCCAAAGCTTTTGATAGAGTTTCTTGGCAGTTTTTATCTGCTATTTTATTGAAATTTGGCTTCTCAAATCATTTTGTTCATCTGATAATCAACAATCTCCAAGCCACTTTTCTTTCCATTTTGATTAATGGCTCCCCTCAAGGTTATTTTAAGCCTACTAGAGGAGTTAAACAAGGGGACCCCCTTTGTAACACTTGAGATTTAATATAAACGGATTAATAGTACTACTCATACCAACAGAGGTGCATCTCCTTTTAAGGGAGCTCATTCCCCAAGAACTCCAAAGTTAAGCGTGCTTGCACGAGAGTAGTCTTGGGATGGGTGACCCCCTGGGAAGTTTCTCAGGGCGCGCATGAGTGAGGACAAAGTGCGCGGTAAAGGCTCGTGGTGGTTTGTGGGGACAGTACTATTGGTCCGGAGTAACTACCTCGGGTCCGGTGGGGCCGGGGTGTTACAGGTGGTATCAGAGCAACCCTGCGACAGTGTGCTGATCTGTTGGATATCGGGCAGGCACTTAGCAGGGGAAAAGATTCTGGAGTTTGATTGAGATTAGTTTAAGGGCGCAACGAGGACGTTGCGATCCTAAGTGGGGGTGATTGTAACACTTGAGATTTAATATAAACGGATTAATAGTACTACTCATACCAACAGAGGTGCATCTCCTTTTAAGGGAGCTCATTCCCCAAGAACTCCAAAGTTAAGCGTGCTTGCACGAGAGTAGTCTTGGGATGGGTGACCCCCTGGGAAGTTTCTCAGGGCGCGCATGAGTGAGGACAAAGTGCGCGGTAAAGGCTCGTGGTGGTTTGTGGGGACAGTACTATTGGTCCGGAGTAACTACCTCGGGTCCGGTGGGGCCGGGGTGTTACACCCTTTCCCCTTTTCTGTTTATCATTGCAGCTGAGGCTTTTTCTAGAGGTTTAAATGGACTTATGGAGGCAGGAAAAATAAAACCATACTGGATGGGGATGCATGGTTTTCCTATTTCACACTTGGGGTTTGCTGATGATCTTCTGATTTTTATGAATGGTGATGCTAGATCCCTTTTAAACTTTAAACAGTTTTTGTATACTTTTCAGCAAGCATCAGGTCAGGAAATTAACTTTGAGAAGAGTTCTATTATCTGTGGTAATTCTTCACCTGCTAGACAAGCTCAAATTAAAAATCTACTTGGTATGAAGCTCTCTTCTCTGCCTATTAAATACCTGGGTGTCAATCTCCATAAAGGTATTAATAGGTTTCAATTCTGTGGGAATTTGATCACTCAGTTTGAAAATAAATTGTCCCCTTGGAAACAGAAGAATCTGTCGCAGGGGGGAAGGCTTATTCTCATTAATCATGTTCTCAATTCAATACCTTTGCACGTTTTGGCTGTGGACAATCTTCCCGGAAAGGTTATTTCAGTTCTTAACAGTAAAATGGCATCTTTTTTCTGGGGGTCGTCCAACAATAAAAACAAATATCACTGGATAAGCTGGCCTAAGTTGTGTTGCCCTACCTTGGAAGGAGGCCTGGGCATAAGGTCATTATATGATATTGAGAAAGCTTTCTCATTAAAGCTCTGGTGGAAATTAAAAACTGGTGACTCTTTGTGGACTCAGTTTATTAAAGACAGATACAATAGAGGAGAGAACATGATACCCAAGGTGACTGACTCAGCAGTGTGGAGGAGAATTTGTTCTATTGACCAGCAAGCATCCATTCTTTGTTCTCTTAATCCTTCTGGTCATTTAATCTGGGATGAAGAAGCAGATGGTTTGTTTTCCTTCAAATCTGCTTATGAAGCTGTCAGGGATCACAAAGTCAGTTCAGATGTGTACAAGAATATTTGGGAATCCAAACAGGAACTGAAAATTAAGATCTTTCAATGGAAAATTGTAAAAGGTATCATCCCTATTACGGACAAGCTTGGAAGATTTAAGCAGGTATTAAACCCTTCTATGTGCCCTCTTTGTAGAAGACAAAGTGACTCCTTGATTCATCTTTTCTTTCAATGTAATGTGGTGGAAGGTGTGTGGAGATATTTTTGGGGAATCCTGGGGCTGTATATGCCTCTTAACTCTGATTTAAATATTTCTAGAGTCCTAAGAATGAAGAACGGAGGTCATAGTCTTCTGAATATTTTTAGACAGAACATATCTGGTATATTACTTTGGTTTATTTGGAAAGTATACTCTTCTATTATTTGGGGTAATGAAGATTCATCTCCTTCCACAGATCAGATTATTTTTCAAATCAAAATGTACACTCAATCATGGGCGGTTAGCTTATCAGGTCTCAAAATACGCCAGATTGGTGACATTCTCTTTGAAGAACAACTGATTCCAAGATATTACAAGCCTAATATCACACGGCCTCAAATTATTAAGTGGAGAAAACCGAAGCAAAGATGGAAGCTAAACATTGACGCGAGTTACTTATCTGATTTAGCGTCTGGGGGTGCGATTCTTAGGAGCTCTTCAGGTCAGATGATTCAGGCTATCTCCTTCCCTCTTGAAGCTGATTCAGCTTTGGACGCAGAAATTAAAGCCCTGTGTTTTGTGGTAAGATGGGTGGAGGATGAAGGATATGAAGATGTGGAGGTGGAGACCGATTCCCTCATGCTGCTGGAGTATTTTTCACGCAAGGATTGTCGGAGATGGAAAATTCTGATTCAGGAAACCTCAGAGATTATGAATAGGAAACGGATCAGTATTTTACATACTCTCAGGGAGGGGAATTGGGTTGCGCATTTTTTAGCGGTGGGCCGAGCTCTAAGGGTGATTAAATTTGATGATCCAAATGTTTTACCTATCCAGGCTAAAAGGGCCTATTGGATGGATTATTTTGGGATCCCTTCTCTCAGATTTTAATTTCTTTCTGTTTTTTTTTCTTCTTCAGTCTGTTTTTACTTGTTTCAGATTAGGTCAGGTTTGGCCCCCTTAATCTGAGTTTTACTTCTTTTGTACCATCTCTATTATTAATAAAATACTGGTAAATGCTCCCCGGCATTTATCCCACTGACTTTGGTGGTTGACCTTCCGGGAAAAAAAAAAAAAAAAAAAAAAAATGCTAACACCTCTCCATAACCTATTATATATAATTTTCGATAGAGGCGAACATTATTTTTATATGGAAAGTGCATATTGATTGAAATAAAAGTGCATTATCTTTACGGTTAAAGTTCACTATAAAAACCTTTGCAAAGCATGAAGCGAAATATGTGTAATTACATTATGCTTGGTGTTAAAGTGCAACTTATGTGTTCAGTTTGCATGGGTAAAGTTTATTTGTTAAAACTTTGTGATTTATTTAAAAGGATTTTGAATTAGGAAAATTAAAGGTTGGTTGATTGAAATTGTGCAATAAAATTATTAGTTACACGAATTGCACTATTAATAATGTTTTGTTGCATATATATGCCATTGATGATGCACGATTTACTATTATAAAAAGATGATGCATGATTTACGTGAGTAGTTTACTTGAGTAATTATTTGGGTGCTCCTTTAAATGAAAACTCCAAATTGTGATAAAGAATTAAACTTCCTCATCGTAACATCAACACGTGGATTTATGTATTGTGTGTGTCACCACGTGGTTATATTATTTTTTTACCCAAATATCCTTAATTTATTATTACACATACCCTCTTATCGTGTTGGTTAGCAGCACGCGTCTTTCTTGTTTTTGTTTTGTTTAATTTAGTTCTCTTAATTTGAGCCGCACGATTCAAGTAATGAGTGGTTAGATATTGTTCTTATTTCTCTCCTTAGAGGTTGTTCTCACTTGAACCTTTCCCTATATATATATATATAAACAAGTAAGACAAAAGTTAAAGTAACATAAAGTCTATATGTAGTAAATACATATAAAGGGGAAATTGTAAGAATGTAACAGGTTGGTCCAGTGGTCCGTTGCCATATTGTAGCCACATGATCATGGGTGGCAGTCGCGTCTGGGCAGGGGCGGACCCAGGAAATTCATCTTGGGATGGCGGTAATTCAAACAAAAAAAATTCTTTTTGCGGCAAAAATTATATTTCGTATATATATACACTAAAAATTTTGTTGTTGGAGGGGCGGTAGCCCCCCTGGGTCTGTACTACGGTCCGCCCCTGCGTCTGGGGCAGCGACGGCGGCTCAAGTCACAGCGGCAGGCAGAGCCGACACAGAGACAGCGGCAGAAATTAAGTGATACCATTTTCTGAGCAGCAGATCTGATTGTAGATACTTCTTGAGGTCCTCAAAGGCGGTTTGGCACTCCGTGGTCCACTGGAACCCATTGCTTTTCTTCAGAAATTGGAAAAATGGTAAAGATCTCCCCAAGGCTGCTAGCCTTCCGGTCAAAATTTGGACCTCTTTGACACTTTTGGGGGGTTCCATGTCTAAGATAGCTTTTACCTTTTCCGGGTTAGGATAAATACCTTTGTGTATCACCATGAACCCCGGGAACTTTCCTCCTTGAACCGCGAAAGTGCACTTTTTAGGATTGAGCCTTAGATTTACCTTTCTCATGATGCTGAAGACCTCCCTCAAATCATCTGCATGATCGTTCGCCTTTTGACTCTTTACAATCATGTCATCAACATATGCCTCCATGTTTCTAGCTTCCTAGAACTGATCTGAATACTTTGGAGACCATCCTTGTGTAGGTAGCTCCTGAGTTCCTTAAACCGAAGACCATGACTAGGTAGCAAAAAACTCCCTCTGGTGTGATGAACGAGGTCTTCTCAGCATCATCCGGGTGCATTGAGATATGATGGTACCCTCTGAATACATCCGCATGAATGAGAGGAGTTCGCATCCAACGGTCTGATCCACCAATTGATCTATGCTTGGTAAAGGGAAAGGATCCATTGGGCAAGCTTTGTTCAAGTCAGTGTATTCTATGCACATTCTCCAGGTTGGTGGCTTTGGAGCCAAAACCATGTTGGCAAGCCACTCCGGATATTGGACTTCTCTAATGTGCTTTATACCCAATAGCATTGCTACTTCCCCTTTAACAAATTCCTATCTATCCAAAGACAAGTACCTGCATTTTTGCTTGATAGGAGCAGCCTTTGCATCCACGTTCAGATGATGAACTGCTATTTTGGGGTCGAGCCCGGGCATACCCTCAGGTCCCCAGGCAAAGATCTCCTCGAATTCCATCAAAACTTGGACTATTCTTGCTTTCAGGTCGGCCTGGAGCCCTGCACCGATTTTAATCCGACGTTCTGGCCGGGCTGGATCAACTCCTGTTAGGACTTTTTCTGGTGTCCAATCTAGTTAGATGTCTTTGTATTTGTGTAGTTGTTAGTTAAATGTGTAAATGGGCCACAAGAGCCATATCAGCCCATTAGGCCTCTTGTAAGCCATAAGTTAGCCTCCTTCTCCTATAAAAGGAAGCTAACTTATGAGAAAAAGTGAAGGCATAGAGCATAGAGGCAAAATATAATAGATTAGCTTTTACGCTGCTCTCTCTCTCTAGAGGGAGAGCAGCGGCCGGTTTACAGCTGGGCTTTGAACTGCCCCTCCTCAAACTTTGATAAGTCCTATTCGATGGCATTCACTCTAGCTTAATTCCTTCCGAGAGCTTTGCAAGCCCTCACATAACAACTCCTGACCATTTTCTGGTCTCCTCTTATTGTTCCTATTCCTGCAGGGGTGTAGAACTTGATGTAAGGAATAAATGTATTTAGATTTTGATGATGCTAGATTAATTAGAACATTAGAGTACCCCCCCCCCCCCCCATTAGAATTGATGTATTAGAAGTTTTTTTCTAAGTGTAAGCACTCTGGAGTAGTCGACTCACAGAAGACCTACAGGCCCTCTATTGTCTGACAGAAGGGCCACTGCCCCTCTGTTGGAGTTCTTTTTTTACAGAAGAGCTCGAGGCCCTCTGTGACTGCCTCTCTATACAACGCAACAGAAGACCAAACACTTAGAGATTTTGCAAGCTACCTCGGCGATGTACCCAACGGAAAATTCCCTCAACCGCTAGGAGTAACTCAACAGAAATGCTACAGGACATCATTTAATGCTCATTTAATGAGCTCTACACTCTGAAGAGTTAAAGCTGATAATTGACCGAGATTTCTGGAAAGCCTGTCCCAAAATAGCAAGCCGCCAAACTTGCGGGCCCTAACTGGTCAACTCAACAGTATGCGCATTCAATGCAGTTGTCTCCTCCTCTAACGGGAAGAGAACCCTAGTATAAAAGATACATGATGAACTCTACAACATTCAAAAGCCATCTTGAGATTCAAACTCCATCTCCATCAACAAGAAAAGCTTACGTTGGAAAAGATAGTATTTTCTTATAATCTTCATATTCCAACAACAGCAAAGTTTCTACAGTTCTTCAACAACTTCAAGCACTTCACTTACAAACCTTTTGTGACGAAGCAAGTTGGAGAAAAACTCTGTTTTTCTACAGAACATCTTCTGCAAAGAAGGGCGTCTTAAATTAGCTGGAGTAGTGAAGTAGTGATACTTCAAGGAGACTCAGTGAAACAAGACCAGTCTTAAAGGAAGCAAGGAAGTGTATCCCAGGAGACATCTACACTTGAAGAAGACGTGGAGAGCTTCTTAAGTGATAGGACTAAGGCTTTGTAACTGTTTACTTCAAAGCTTAGTGGAACAATGGATTAGAGGAACGAGTTGTTCCGTGAACCACTATAAAAATCCCTGGTGTCATTTACTTACTGCTTTCCTTTTTAAACTGATTAACTCCACAGAAGTGGTATCTCTGTTCAGCAGAACACCTCTTGTGAGTTAACAGAAGGCCTAGTGCCTTTGCATCTCTGTGAGGCTATCCCGACAGAACCCCTACCAAAAGACCTTCGCTGCCAGTCTGTTCCCAACAGAACAGGCTATTCTGTTAACCTTGGTACTTAGCTTGAAAAAGTTAAAAACCATAACAGTCTATTCACCCCCCCTCTAGACTGTTACCTCATTAACCGGGACCAACAAGTGGTATCAGAGCGTCCTTGTTCTTGTAATCTTTTAGGTTACTCCTTGAACAAAGATCCACTTGTTCTCAGCCTCTTTAATTTTTATTATGGACAACACGCTTGCAAAGCATCTCCTATTTTCAGATCAGAAATATGATGATTGGAAGATCCGGATAAAGGCACATCTCTGTGCACTTCATGATGAAATGTGGGAAGTCCTAGAAGAAGGACCCTTCACCAAATTCATGAAGGTGAACACTGCACATGCTACTGACAACACACAGCCCCAGATGATTGAAAAGGCCAGATCTGAATGGTCTAAGGAAGAAAGGAGACAGTACAACCTTGATAACGTAGCCAAGGACATCCTCTACAAGGCCATTGACAACAGATACTTTAACAGGATCAAGAAGTGTCAAACTGCCAAAGAAATATGGGACAAACTTGATCTTATAGGAGTTGGAGATGAGCAGGAAAGAGATAACAAGCTGACCATAGCTATGAAAAAGTTTGATGACTTCAAACTTCTGCCTGAGGAATGCATAGCAGAAATGTATGCCAGACTTCTGATTCTCACAGTGAAATTTCTGAGCTAGGAAAGGAGCTCACAGTCAAAGAAGTCAACCTGAAGATCCTTAGAGGACTGCCCCCAGTCTGGAAGATGAAAGTGATAGCTGTCCAAGAAAGCAAAGATGTCAAAACGTATCCTACAAAGAAGCTGATCTCAGATCTCAAAGCCTATGAGTTTGAGATGCATAATGAGAAGGAAGGAGTGCCAGATGAGAGGACCACCACTGCCCTCATAGCCAGTACTTCTAAGGTAAAAGATTTTGACCCTTTTACCTTATTATCTGACGAATATATGGCTGCCTTTGCCAGAAAATTCAGGAAATTCATGAAGAAAGATGGAAGGAGTCCATCTTCCAGTAGAAAGCCTTTCCAGAAGACCAAGCCTTCTGAAAGTAGTGGAGAGCTCCTCTGCTACAACTGCAGACAACCTGGACACTTCAAAGCCAACTGTCCACATCCCAGAGTGTCCAAAAGACAAGGACAGGATGGAGAGAAGAAATATGAAGATCATGCCAGAAGAAGAAAAGCATTGATCACTGAACAAGCTGAGAAAGATCCCCTGTCTGAGACAGAATCTAGTTCTATTTCAGACTCAGATGAGGCCTTCTGTTGCCTTGATGCTGACACAGAAGACCTATGCCTCATGGCACAATCAGATGATGAGGTATTCTTTACAGCTGATTCTATTTCTTCCTCGGTAGGCACAACCTTAAATGATGACCCAATGTCATCATTTTGGGAAGAGTTCAGAACTATCCAAGATACTTATATTCCTTAATCAAAGAGGAAAACAATAAGCTTAAAGTTGAAGTCTCTGACTTAAGAAAAGAGACTGAGTGCAAACTTAATCTCTTAACTAAAGAAACAGATGAACTGAAAGCTAAAAATGTTTCTCTTCTAAATAGAATAAGTGAAATAGAGGACCTTGAAATCAGATATGATAGCCTTTTGAAGATGCAGTCTTCTATAAAGGGTATTGATGATTTTCTTAACCTTACTCATGGTCTTGGATATGTTGAAACAAAGTCTGGTGAGCCTTCTGTAAGGCCTAACACCCAAGTTGCTAAGGCTGATAAGGTCATAGTGCCACAGACTTTTAGCCTCATCTGTCATGCTAGTACTTATGGTACTAAGGTTATTCATGAGAAAGTCAGGCCAGAAATCCAAAAGCTAAAGGCCAAACAAAAACAAGTTTTGAAAAACAATAAACCTGGCAGAAAACCGAACTATTCAAAAGGTTTTCAGAAAAATAATAATTAAAGGCAAAACTTCAACAGACACTCTCATGATAACTATGCTAGAAACTACTATCAGAAAGGCAGTTATCAAGAGAAAGTTAACTTTAGGCAGAAGAGGTCGTCTGGTCAACCTCAGAAGCCCAAAGCAAAACGCCTCTCTGCTCTTGATAGCATATGGGACTTCTTTCCAACAAAGAAGGCTATGCAGAAATATGCTAACAGAAAGCGTGAACCTCACAAGCATCTGCCCAAAGTGAATCATACTGCTGTTTACCATGACTACCAGGTGGATAATGGGTACCAGCCACCAAGGTTTCACTTGATGAGACCAAAGTGGTACCAACTACCAAGACTCCATTACCCCCCAGGACCCAACATCGCTTGGGTACCTAAATCTTCCTTTTGATTTTGCAGGAACTGTGTGCTGAAGCTATCTCAGAACAACAATGGTTTATTGATAGTGGATGCTCCAGACACATGACAGGTGACAAAAGTTGCCTAACAGAATTCCAGAAAATGAATGGACCTCGAGTCACTTTTGGAGGAAATGAAGAAGAAGGTCAAACAAAAGGAAAAGGGAAGCTGATCAAGAACCAGATAATCATTGATGATGTCTCATATGTCAAAGGTCTGAAGTTCAACCTGCTGAGTGCTAGCAAGTTCTGTGACAAAGGCTACACAGTTGAATTCACAAAGGCCTTCTGCTATGTGAAGCATGAGACAACTAAGGAAGTAGTTCTTACTGCAAACAGAAGAAAGACCATCTATGTTGTTGATTGGCAAACTGCAAAGGATGGTGTTTGCCTGATAGCAAAAGGAGATTCAAAGCTAAGATGGGAGATTCAAAGGATGGTGTTTGCCTGATGGCAAACAGAAGAAGAAGAAGAAGAAGAAGAAGAACCGAACTGAAATTTTTACTTTGGTTCTATATTTGATTTTAGGTCAAAACCGAACCGCAAGAACCGAACCCACCCATACCTGTGATTAATTTATTTCAAAGAAATTATGTGGTTCATTTAATTTTGGGCAAGATTAGATCCAATAAAGAGCATACTTTTTATTAAAGATGATACGAGCTCAGTCATGATCGAGACTCACTTATTCTCCTTCACCCCAATCAAGCCAGTCTCGAGGGGGCATTTGTGGGCATTAAAAAATATTTGACCGCTTATGATATTCATTGGGCTTCTTTCAAATGCTATCAGGCTACTTCGACTTTATTGAGCCTCATTTGAATGATATTGGGCCAATGTTCAATATGTTGGGCCGCTCGTGATCTCTTTTAGCCTTAAATAAAGTAGTGATATGGACCACTTGAGAAGAATTTAGTGATTAAATTAATTTGGATTATTTAAAATGTCCAATTATTAATTTAATCATAAATTTAGTCTTTAAAAGAATGAACTGGTCCTATTAATTTTCCTACTTTTGAGCCCATTATCAAATAGCGGCTCAATATATAAGAGGCATGATCCAATTGATAAAGAGAGCGACGAATCTAGTTAAGAAATCCATCCATATGCAAGAGAAATAGCTCCGAACCTTGTTAAAAAGGCTGTCCAGATACATCAAACAAGTGCTGATTTTTCTAGCTATTAAATACAAGCAAATAGAGCCCAAAGCCCATTTTAATTAGGGCCCAAATGATATGGACGAATTTTGGGAAGCCTAAAGCATATTTCACCCCCTCCACACTTATAAATAGGGGTCTCAGTTGAGAGGAAGGGGAAGAGAACTTTCAGACGAAAAACGCTGCAGCAAAGCCCTGAAAAACTCCCGAGAGACTCTGAAAGATTCCGAAGAAGAAGAGATCAAGCCACGATTTTTCTCAAAAATATATGAATAATCCTTTGTGATTTCATGTATTCTTGACAAAATAAGTTCAAAAGTTGAAGAACGTTCGAAGATCTGAAGAACGAAGCTCGAAGATCTGAAGAACAAGACTTTGAAGATTCGAAGATATGAAGAACGAATCTTTGAAGATTTGAAGATATTCATATGAAGATTGAATCAAAATTCAATTGAAGATCAAGCCATATATTACAGGAGGCCCTTAAACAGAAGATTAAACCATAAAACGGCTCTTTTGTTGAAGATCAAACCACTCGAAAACCGGAGGCCCTTCAATTTGAATTCTTTATTCAAGAAGATTTGAAGATCCGAAGAACGAAGATTCGAAGATCTCACGAACAAAGATTCGAAGATTCGAAGAACGTTCAAATATTTGAAGGATTAGAGATTTAATTTTAAATTAAATTCTTTAATTATATTACTTCAAATTGCAAGTGAAGAATCAGAGGATTCATATTTAGATATTGTACCCGATATTGTCATATATTCTTATTTGCGATCAATTTTAAGTAAATACTTAAAATTTGTTTCACAATATGATTCATCTTATAATTTTTTATATATTTTGTAGATTCATTTATGCTCTTCGCTATTTTTCAATCAAACCAAAATAACGATCATTGTAAAAAAAAACGGAATAATGATCATACACCATTCATAACATGTAGACAATTTTTAGTAGAGCATATCTTGGTGAGATGAAATTTAATATTAACTGACATTGTGAAACTTCAAGTTCACCTCATTTTTCACGTCTCCGTATGAATGACCTTAACAAAATTCCTTAATTTCATGCAACATGTGTTTAACTTATACAAATATATATAATTCCTTAACGTAGTAATATAATATGAGGAGAATTCTACTACTAAAAAATATTATGGAAGCATAATTTGCAATTCCTTGATATTGTCACAAACTATCACTCAATAGTGATGACATCACATTTCAAATTAGTACTTCGCAGTGTTTGAGTAGCTTTTTTAAGCTTAAAGTCAATATGTGCACAACCTATTTATAAATATAGTTTGTGCTCTCGATACTTATTATGCTTAAATAGGATAAAATTTCTAGTGTATGACACTCTCGAAAAGTTAATATTACCTAACTCTATGCCACAAATATATACCCGCTTGAGGCATTATATGATCATCCCTTAAAATAAGAATAGTATATCTCCGAAATCATCATAGTCTAGTTTTTTTTAAAAAGAAATCACCTTAAGCTGTATTAATAGAATCAAAAGACAAAGTTTGAGCAATGCATCCCAGGGATCAATAAACCAAAATTGACCTACAGACATAGAACTCGCCGCTCTTGCCAGTTCGTGAGCGACTTTGTTTGCTGAACGCCTAACAAAAGAAAAGGAAATATGAGAAAACCATAAACTGATTTCCTTGATGTCGCCCGCCAAAAGACCTGAAGATGAACTTGAATCCTTCCGAATCTCCTCAACTACCTGCATCGAATCAATTTCCACCTCAATGAAATCCCAACCTTCATTTTTAACCCAACTCAAGGCTTCTCAGAATCTCAGATGCCCAAACATATCATTAGTCTAATTATCACTGGCTTTTATAGAAATTTGAATCATGCACCAAGGGTTTTTTTTTACAAGATTTTACTAAAATAAAACTTATTTACATAAATATGACTATTTATTACTACAACGTAGTGTTGTGGTAATTTAAGTTCAAAACTTGAACATGAATTACTATGATTTCATTACTACTCTAGTAACTAGTCATACTTTTGTAAACCATCTTTATTTTCGTCATATTTATGTAATTATTTCATCATGTAATCTCCGCCATTTTGTTCTAAAATGACCAAATTTTAAAGAGAAATATGTAAAACTCACATGTAATCTCTGCCTTTTTAATGCTTACATTAGCTCATAGTAGCGTGAAATAATTCTCAAAATAACACAAATAAGCATATGAAAGACAATGAAATGTTAACGAACTGATAGAGATATCCGGCGTGGAATCAATTCTAATGCTTCTTGGTACTCTACGTCACATGTTATCCTCTACTTTGAGAGAATTTTCTCTAACTTTTTCTTTATCATCATTCATTTATTTCCTTCATAAGCGAATATAATTTTTTTAAAAAAAAAAAACTTTATTTCTTAAGTATAAATAAATAAATAAATAAATAAATAAATAAATACATACATACATACATACATACATACATACATACATACATACATACATACATACATACATACATACATACATACATACATACATACATACATACATACATACATACATACATACATACATACATACATACATACATACATACATACATACATACATACATACATACATACATACATACATACATACATACATACATACATACATACATACATACATACATACATACATACATACATACATACATACATACATACATACATACATACATACATACATACATACATACATACATACATACATACATACATACATACATACATACATACATACATACATACATACATACATACATACATACATACATACATACATACATACATACATACATACATACATACATACATACATACATACATACATACATACATACATACATACATACATACATACATACATACATACATACATACATACATACATACATACATACATACATACATACATACATACATACATACATACATACATACATACATACATACATACATACATACATACATACATACATACATACATACATACATACATACATACATACATACATACATACATACATACATACATACATACATACATACATACATACATACATACATACATACATACATACATACATACATACATACATACATACATACATACATACATACATACATACATACATACATACATACATACATACATACATACATACATACATACATACATACATACATACATACATACATACATACATACATACATACATACATACATACATACATACATACATACATACATACATACATACATACATACATACATACATACATACATACATACATACATACATACATACATACATACATACATACATACATACATACATACATACATACATACATACATACATACATACATACATACATACATACATACATACATACATACATACATACATACATACATACATACATACATACATACATACATACATACATACATACATACATACATACATACATACATACATACATACATACATACATACATACATACATACATACATACATACATACATACATACATACATACATACATACATACATACATACATACATACATACATACATACATACATACATACATACATACATACATACATACATACATACATACATACATACATACATACATACATACATACATACATACATACATACATACATACATACATACATACATACATACATACATACATACATACATACATACATACATACATACATACATACATACATACATACATACATACATACATACATACATACATACATACATACATACATACATACATACATACATACATACATACATACATACATACATACATACATACATACATACATACATACATACATACATACATACATACATACATACATACATACATACATACATACATACATACATACATACATACATACATACATACATACATACATACATACATACATACATACATACATACATACATACATACATACATACATACATACATACATACATACATACATACATACATACATACATACATACATACATACATACATACATACATACATACATACATACATACATACATACATACATACATACATACATACATACATACATACATACATACATACATACATACATACATACATACATACATACATACATACATACATACATACATACATACATACATACATACATACATACATACATACATACATACATACATACATACATACATACATACATACATACATACATACATACATACATACATACATACATACATACATACATACATACATACATACATACATACATACATACATACATACATACATACATACATACATACATACATACATACATACATACATACATACATACATACATACATACATACATACATACATACATACATACATACATACATACATACATACATACATACATACATACATACATACATACATACATACATACATACATACATACATACATACATACATACATACATACATACATACATACATACATACATACACATACATACATACATACATACATACATACATACATACATACATACTATACATACATACATACATACATACATACATACATACATACATACATACATACATACATACATACATACATACATACATACATACATACATACATACATACATACATACATACATACATACATACATACATACATACATACATACATACATACATACATACATACATACATACATACATACATACATACATACATACATACATACATACATACATACATACATACATACATACATACATACATACATACATACATACATACATACATACATACATACATACATACATACATACATACATACATACATACATACATACATACATACATACATACATACATACATACATACATACATACATACATACATACATACATACATACATACATACATACATACATACATACATACATACATACATACATACATACATACATACATACATACATACATACATACATACATACATACATACATACATACATACATACATACATACATACATACATACATACATACATACATACATACATACATACATACATACATACATACATACATACATACATACATACATACATACATACATACATACATACATACATACATACATACATACATACATACATACATACATACATACATACATACATACATACATACATACATACATACATACATACATACATACATACATACATACATACATACATACATACATACATACATACATACATACATACATACATACATACATACATACATACATACATACATACATACATACATACATACATACATACATACATACATACATACATACATACATACATACATACATACATACATACATACATACATACATACATACATACATACATACATACATACATACATACATACATACATACATACATACATACATACATACATACATACATACATACATACATACATACATACATACATACATACATACATACATACATACATACATACATACATACATACATACATACATACATACATACATACATACATACATACATACATACATACATACATACATACATACATACATACATACATACATACATACATACATACATACATACATACATACATACATACATACATACATACATACATACATACATACATACATACATACATACATACATACATACATACATACATACATACATACATACATACATACATACATACATACATACATACATACATACATACATACATACATACATACATACATACATACATACATACATACATACATACATACATACATACATACATACATACATACATACATACATACATACATACATACATACATACATACATACATACATACATACATACATACATACATACATACATACATACATACATACATACATACATACATACATACATACATACATACATACATACATACATACATACATACATACATACATACATACATACATACATACATACATACATACATACATACATACATACATACATACATACATACATACATACATACATACATACATACATACATACA